ACACTCTCCCCAGCCCCTGGAACGGGCCTGGCAGAGGGTAGACCAGAACCCCACTTGCTAAATGAATGAATGAATGGTGAGCCTCTAGGGCAGCGGTTCTCAACCTATGGGTCACGACCCCTTTGGAGGTCGAACGACCCTTTCACAGGGGTCGCCTAAGACCATCCTGCATATCAGATATTTACATGATGATTCATAACAGTAGCAACATGACAGTTGTGAAGTAGCAATGAAAATAATTTTATGGTTGGGTCACAACATGAGGAACTGTATTTAAAGGGCCAGAAGGTTGAGAACCACTGCTCGAGGGGGAAGACTCACTTTTTCAGACTTTGATGGAGACAACCTTCTCCCCCTGAACAGAAGAGGCCTGGGAGGAGACCAACCTCCTGGTCTGAGCCCCAGATCACACGCAGGAGAGTTGGAAAGGTTCCCCCTCAGGTCATCCAGTGCATCTCTTTCATGCCCATTTAGCAGATGAGGAAACTGAGGCCCCAAGCAACCACGTGGGTTGCCCAAAGGCACTCTGCAATCCAGCGGCTGAGCAAGAACCGGCTTACAGGACGGACTCTTGCCTCTCGGCCGGGAGACCTCGGGGTCCTGGGGGCCCCAGACGCCTTCCCGCAGCAGCGAGCGTGTGGTGCTTCTGTCACGTTACTTAATGGCGGGCAGGTAAGAACCCCTCAGTCTCCATCATCTGCGCACATAATAGGGAGGAGAACGAATCAAATGTCACTCGAAACAATAAAGGAAAGTATTCTTAGCGCGCACGGCGTTCAGCGGGGCCGAGGCGAGGGCGCAACGCGTTCCCAGTGAGTCACCCGGGGAGCAGGAGCCGGGGGATCTCAATTATTCCCTGACAGCGTCAGCGACGACGTGCGAGCGCCCAGGTTATTTTTATACTCGAGGCTGATGGATACGCGTGTGCAAAGGTGAGTGGGGCAGGGGAGTACATGCGGGTTCCGGGCACATGCAGGTGTGCGTGTGCATGAGTGCCCGGGAGAGGGTAGAGTGGCCTCGTGCAGGGGTGCATGCGTGCGTGCACACACACGCAGGTGACACGCACAGATTTGGGCATATAGTGTGACGTGTGCACCCCCTGGACAGTCAGCCCATGAGGATGGGTTCCTTGTCTCACTGGTGTCCAGCCTGGTGCCTGGCACAGAGCAGAAGCTTCATAAATGTCTGCTAAGCACATAACAAATCCCGAGCCCTCGAAGGTGTGGCCGCTGTTCTGCACCCTGTCCCCCCTCTCCCCTCCACTCAAAGCCGCTATCTTCCTGACCTCCTCCTCTCCTTCATTGCATCCCCTTCATCCATGGTCCAAGCAGTGGCCTGGGGACTTCTTAAAACTCAAGTTGGCCCGGCCGGCGTGGCTCAGTGGCTGAGCGTCAACCTATGAACCAGGAGGTCACGGTTCGATTCCCGATCAGGGCACATGCCCGGGTTGAGGGCTCGATCCCCAGTGTGGGGCGTGCAAGAGGCTCATCATGGATGTTTTTCTCTCCCTCTCTCTCCCTCTCCCTTTCCTCTCTGAAATCAATAAAAAATACATAAAACAAAGACAACAAAAAACAAACAAACAAGAAAATCCCTCAAACTGGAGCAAGTCACTCTCCTGATTAACGAAACAAAAACAACCCTGTGGCTGCCCCACCTCGCCCAGAACAAAACCCCAAATCCTTTCCAGGACCTTCGAGATCCCGAGTGGGCTGGGCCTGCCTGCCTCATCTCCCACTGCCCCACTCCTGCCCCCTCAATTCTTCTGGGGCGGGGGGTGGCCTTTTCCTGCCTCACAGTCTCTGCTTAAATACGGCATCTCCCCTGGGAGGCCTTCCCTCCACTCTCATCTGCATTCCTCCCACCCCTGCCCTCGATTTTCTCACGTATCCGTTTCCCTGTTAGACTGTAAGCTCCGGGGCACAGAGTCACACCTGCTCGATTGCAGAGTGGCGCCAGCTGGCAGCGCAGCCCTGGGCGCAGGGCGGGCACCTACTAAGCCTGAGCGGGTGGCTGGTGAGCGGGCAGGTGGGGCATCCTCCTGGGCGAAGGTGCGGCCCGAAAGCCACCACCGGTCTGTTGAGCTGGGAGAAAACCCGCTTCCCGCACCGCCATCCCTCCTTCGCATGTAGCCCTAACCCCCACCTCTGCACGGGCTCTTAATGCGGTTTCAAGGGTTCCCGTTTCACTTCCATTGGACATCTTCTATCGCTGTTTGAATCGGAAACTTGCTGTACATGAAAAATAACCATCGGATTGGAAATGCCAGGGGCCGGTGGCCGCGGTGGCTTGCCCTGGCTCCCCGAGCCCACGCCGGCGCCCTCTCTGTTAGCGGTGGAAGCGCCCAGCTAGGCTTTTGGTGCTGTAACCCGGAGCCGGCGCATCTGCGTCGCCCTGGCGGTCAGTGCCGTCTGCCTCGCTGTCTGTGAACAGCCCCCGCCCACTCTGTAGCCCCTGCTTTCCTGCCCCGAACGTTCCAGCCCAGGAGCTGAACACTTGTCCATCCCCTCCCGGCCACCCCTGGCCACCCTTCGCATCCTTGCCTCCAACTTGGGGTCTGGAGGACTGGACTGGGGGCCGCTGGCCTCTGGCCTCTGCTCTCGGGGTGTCAGCTTTCTCCTCTAGCAAACGGGGCTCGGCTCCGGCACTACTGCCTGGCCCTGGAGCCGCCCTGAGGATGAGCTGGACCCAGAGCTCGGCCCGCAGGCCCGGGGGACCAGTCTTGGCGGCAGAGTCTTTCCTGAGCCTCCGGCCGCCTCCCGGGACAGTTTGGAATTTTTATTTTTTGGCCTTTGTCTGCGAGAGAGCAGCGTGGGCCTCTTCGCATAATTTTCATTCCATGAGGCCGGAAAGGGAGTCTGCACAGGTGTTTCGGGAGGGAGGAGGGGGAGCCGAGAGCCCGGGGCGGCCGTCTTTGGCGGGAGGCCAGCTGGGCCTGCCTTTCAGGACAGAGGGGCCGGAGCAGAGCAGCAGGACCGAGTGCCTTCTGTCTGCTCATGCGGGCACTAGCTGCAGCACACTCTCTACCTTAGTGACTCCGTGAGGGAATTCACTGTTGCCACCCATTTCACAGATGCGAAAACCGAGGCCCGGAGAGGGAAGGCGCTGGCCCACGCTCACTCAGCTGGGACGTGGCAGAGCCGGTCTTTGAACCCAGGTCTGTGTGGTTCCAAATGTGTGACCTTCACCAGGAGAGCTGTGCTTTTAGGTTTCTTTTCAAGCAACAGCAACGCTTAGGGAACACAGGAGGCCCGGAGAGAGGAGGCGATGTATTGAGGATCACTCGGCTGCCCCCCACTTCCCCCGCTTCCTGTCCCACAGTGATTGGTGTCACTACCCTGTCGCTTCTCTGTCTTTTCTGAAAGAACCTTGGCCCAGTAGGACTGGGGTATGTGTGTGTGTGTGTGGGTGGGGGGGCAGTGACTCCTCAGCACCCGGCAACTGGGGAACGCTTGCTTCTGACCCCCTGTCCACCCCATGGGTCAAGAGCCGGGCGACTGTGAGGGGCTGGAGTGTTATTTTGCCCAGAGGAAGCTTCGGGCAGGGAAACCCTTGCTCTGATCCTGGGCTCCATTTCCCTCTGCCTCTAACGTGACTCAGCTCTAGGGAGGGAGGAGGCGGGAGAATTTATAATAAAATCCAGGGGGTTCCCTAAGGCCAAGGATTCCCCAGGCCTCGCTGCCCAGTGGCCACTTAGGCCTGCAGGGCCCTGCTGGCAGCCAGGCCCTGGCTTCCCTGCTCCTCCCTCTCCTTGTTCTCAGCCGTCCCGGCTCCCTCCCTCCCTGGCCCTCGGCCCCTTCGCCCTCCCTGGGCTCCACCAACCTCTCCTCTCTTGGTTGTTCTCTCTCTCTCTCTCTCTCTCTCTCTCTCTCTTTCTCTCTCTCCTTCTATTTCCCTCTCTGTTTTTTTAAAAAAATATATTTTTATTGATTTCAGAGAGGGAAGGGAGAGGGAGAGAGAGGTAGAAACATCAATGATGAGAGAGAATCATTGATCGGCTGCCTCCTGCATGCCCCACACTGGGGATCGAGCCCCTAACCCGGGCACGTGCCCTTGACCCTAACGAGCCAAATTGGCTCGGGCTGTCTGTTTTGTGTGTATGCGTTTGCTTCACTTCCATTTCACTTCAAATGCTGAGCGTTTTACCCCAAAGGGTGGAATAGGAAAACAGATGCAATGGACACAACCTTATCTACATAAATAACTCAGTGTCTATTTTTTTTGGGGGGGGGAGGGCTCAAAGGGAAAAATATCTGTAACACACAAAATAAACATTTTACGAATTGAGTATAAGATAAGAAAAAGTGAACCTCTCAAACGCAAACCTGAAATTCAGCTCCCACTTTCCTCTCAAACCAGTTCTGACTCCAGCGGTTGTTCGGGGCTCCTCTGAGCCTCGTTCCTCGTCTGAGAAATTGGAGAAAGACCATTCCACCCCCAGGGGCCATTGGGCGGGAAGCTCAGGAGTCAGTTCAGAGTGGAGGGTGGGCGCCCTTGCCTTGTACCTACCCCGAGCAGGTGCTCATGGGATGGTTCCAGCTGTGTGCCCTTGGGCAGGTGGCTTGCCCTCTCTGAGCCTTGGTTTCCTCATTTGCAAAATGAGCACAGGTTTGGGGTCCTGGCCTTGCCACCCAGGGGCGTCTCCCTCCTGACTCAGGAACCTGGGAGAGGTGGGGGGAGGAAGAGGGGGCAGATGAAGTTCACAGATGTGAGGCTGGGGAGGGGAGCCAGGAGAAGGGAAGGCACCGCTGCCCAGCATCCTGGCCAGGTGTGGGGCAGGGACTCCTGACAGCATCTCTGGGCGCCTTTCCCGATGCCCCAGTCCTGGGTTCAAATCCTGACCCCACTGCGGACTCTGGTATCTGGCTCCTTTCCCCTCATTGGCTCCACTCCGGTCACGTGGGCGTCTCCTTCCTGCTCATCTTCCAAGCCTGCCCACCTCCTTCCTCCCTCTCTGCTCTCGCTGTTCCCTCGCCTGGAACATTCCGCCCACTCTTGCCTGATGCTCCCACTGTCTCCAGGAGTCCTTCCCCACCTCCCGACCTCAGTCAGGGTCTCTCCCCGGCCCCCACCCACCTGCCTGTCATCGTTGTGTGGCTTCCGGCGGGAGCCTTTACCTGGGTTAGGACTGCGGCGGCGTCTGCAGAAGGTGCTCAGGAAAGAGTCCTGCGGTTTGAATTCTGACCTCAGCTCCACCAGCCAGATGTTATGACACGTTTCCAGGTGAAGACAGGGAGGTTCCAGGGTGGCGGAGGGGACGGGGGCGGGGGAGGTCAAATCCCTGATCCAGGCCTCAGAGCCGTGAGGTGGCAAATCAGGGACAGAACGCAGGCCCCTTGGATGAACCAGTTTTGGGGAGGCCATGCCACCTGCTGCCTTCCAAGTGCGGCAGGGGGGTCATCTGGTCCAGGCCAGGTCCCTGCGGGGTGTCCTGGGTAACACGGAGGCTCAGAGAGAGTGAGCAGCTGGCCCAAGGCCACACAGCAGGTTGCTAGGGGGCCTGGCTAGAGCCCAGCAGGCCCCACCCCGGGGGCTGGGACTGAGGCAGCTGGGATTCTTGCAGGCAGCACCCCTGCCCATTCTCCCCTCCCTGGACATTGGCTGGGGGCACCCAGGCCTGTATTCTAGCCGGCAGGGCCACAGGCCGCCCTGGGTGCGCGCAGTCCATTAGCGGGGCTTGCCAAGTTCATCTATAATAGATTTGGCGGTGGCTGCGGGCTGCCGGTGTGCGGAGGGCGGAGAGCACCCATAAATCAGCCGGACGGGGGCTGACCAGGCCGGCAGCGCCACCCTCAGAAGTCCACTGGGTCCCAGGGCAGGGGCCCAGGCAGCTCTCCTGCCAGCCCCCCCAGGCTCCCTTAGACTCTGGCTCCTCCCTCTCTCCCTGTCCCCTGCCCCCCTCCCCCATTTCTCTCTCCACATGTCACCTGGTCCACTGGGTCCCCTAACACTGCACTTGCTCCTCTGAGCAAGCTCAATACTCCCCCCCCACCTCACCCCCCAAGCCGGCCAGCCCCTCCATTTCCCTGATCATTTACAGCCTCCCTTGGATCAGGGTTCAAATTCTCCAGTGAGTTCCTGGTGCCTCAGTTTCTGCCTCTATGAAATGAGGGTCATACATGTATCCCCATGTCAAGTTCATGGGCATGAATAGGCCATGGCAGTGCCTGGGACCCATTCCCCCCCAGAAATAGCTCTGCCCCTTCTCCCAGCCACATGTGGCCACCCCCAGTACTTGCAACATGTGCATGTTCCCTCACAACAGTCCCCTGGTTCTCCTGTCCCTGAGATCATGCCTATGCTCTTCACATGCCCACCTGTGTGCCAGGTACATGTTAGTCACAGACACACTCCTTTACATATGCATCATGCACACACACGTGCATGCTGGTTAAATAAGCAGATCACAGGTCGGGAGAAGGTGCACCCGGCGGAGGAAACAGCATGTGCAAAGGCCCTGTGGTAGGAAAGGCCCATGTGCTCAGGGCCTGTGGTTACTGCAGCCACATTTGCATTTCCCCCAAAGGGAACGTAGATAACAGGCAATTTTATAACCTGATGCAGAGTGTGACTCAGTCTCTTGCCAAGCAAATGCTTCTCAGATCCAGGTCTTTCAGCTCCCACCATCCACCTTGAGGTTTTCTTCAAGTTTCCCCTCATCCAGCCCCTCCTCCCCTGCCCCCCAGAGGGGCTCAGGTCTCCATGGTCAAGCCCAGGCACCCCAGCATAGGTGGGAGTTGGGCTGAGGAAGGGAGGGCTCGGAGGGAAAAGGCCAGCCATAAATTCACAGTGAGTTGCTGCTGGCAGCTCTCTGCCTGTTCTCAGAGGCCATAAAATTTTACTAGAGGGGCAGCCACATAGGATTAGAGCCGGCCAGGGTGTCGGCCCTCCATCACCTGCCAGGCTGCCCCGCCGAGGGCCATCCATTCTTCCTGCCTCTCCAGCCAGCTCAGGACTGGCCACCGCCTGCCCACCAGGGCACTTCAGTTCAGGAAGCGGTGCCCACCAGCCTCACGAGGCCTCTCAGGGAGCTGGCAGGGCAGATGCTCACTTGACAGATGAGGAAACAAGCCCCAAGGGTGGCCCACTAACCAGGGCCACGCGATGGATTAGGGTGAGGTGGCAAACTTGAGCCTAGGACTCCTGCGTCCTATAGCAAAAGAGTAGTTTTTCACCCTTGGTTTCTCTCTGTGTATTCATCCACTCATCCACTCATTCTTGTTTCCAGCTATCCATCCATCCACTCTCCTACCCATCCATCCATCTACCCATTAGTTCATACATCTATCCATCCATTCACTCTCCTACCTATCCACCCATCTACCCATTAGTCCGTCCATCCATCCATCCATTCATCCATCCATCCATCCATCCATCCTTCCGTTCACCCATCTAATACACATCAGATACATGCAAGGCAAGAGGTAAATAAAACACAGCCCTGCCCTCAAGGAAACAAACAGATGGTGACAAGGGAGAGGCCAGCACCGCCCCTCCCCCCCACCCCACAAGGCACCCACTGTGTGTAGAACGGTGTGCTGAGTTCAAGGGTGAGAGCATAAATGATGACCATGGCTCTGATCTTTCGTCCAGGGCTGGCTGTGTGCCGGAACGTGAGAACCATCCTGCGGCCATGCCCCGGGTTGGCATCAGGGACCGACCACCTGCCAGGCCTTCCACGGTGAGTCTAATCAGTCTGGTGGCATCTGATGTTTTGATTTGTTTGGCAGGAGGGAACTGAGGCTGGTGGGAGGCGGCAGTGGCGGGGAGCAGCGGGAGGCAGGTGGGGAGTGTGGGGCTCCGTCCCTGGCTGGCTGAGGAGCAGAGGCTTCTGGGAAGGGCTTGCGGTGGCACTGGGTAGGCTCCGCCTGGCTGCACAGGAAACATCTTTGCCTGGCAAACAGGATGGTCGTTTGACATCTGGGCCTTGGGGTGCACGGGTGTGAGGGGAGAGGGGCCCAGAATAGTTCCTGCCCTCCCTATGCCCCCTGCCCCCTGCCAGGCCCCTGCAGCCCCAATTCCCCTCCCCCGCCCCATACGGTGCCCACGCTGGGAACCTTCACCAGCAAGGCCGCTTCCTCTGAGCGCCCCCCCTACCCCTGCCGCCCCCCAGTCCTGTGCCCTCAGAGGGAAGTATAGACTAAAGGAGGGGAAGTGGTTGGCCCTATGCAGCCCTGCCAGTGCGTGGTGACCCCTGGTTAAACCCAGCCTCCAGTGCCAGGCCCAGGGTGGGGGGGTGTCAGGGGCTGGGAATGGAGAAGGAGCGGCATTGGGGGGTCTTCCCTCCTCCTGGCAAAACTGCCATCTCAGCAGATCTAGGTCCCCCTTCTCTTGGGGCTCCCAGCTCTCATCTCTGTAGCCCGGTCCCCAGGGCATTGCTCTCGCCACTGGGAGCAGCTGGTGACAGGCCCTTCAAAGGCAGTTCTGATGGCGGATTTCTGTCCCCTGGCACCCTGGTGACACAGGGGTGTGTGTGTGTGGTGACCCTACCTCCGACAAACTCTGTGAGTCTCACCCACTGACTGCTCCCCCCCTCTCACGACACAGTGCCAGTGAGGGGACGAGAGGGGCCCCCTGGCACCCTGGTGACACAGGGGTGTGTGTGTGTGGTGACCCTACCTCCGACAAACTCTGAGTCTCACCCACCCTGACTGCTCCCCCTCTCACGACACACAGTGCCAGTGAGGGGACGAGAGGGGCCCTGGCAACTTCCCCAAGCCGGGGGGCAGGGCACACTGACCACCGCCCCAGACGGCCCCACGGTGCGGGGAAGCCCAACCTCATGCTGTGCAATCTTGGGCAGAGCACAGACCCTCTCTGGGCCTCATGACGGGACTGGGAAGGAGACCAGCTGGGAGGCTCTTCTTGCTCTCGAGTTTTCTGATTGGATGATTTTGAGTTTCCATCACCTTCAAGTTCAATGAGTTTGTTACATGCATATTCTGATTCTAAGATTCTTTGGTTCTCAGGCTCAGTCTTTCGGCATTTTCTCACTTTGTCAAGTGTTCTGAGAAGCACTGCGGGGGGAGGGAGGGCTAAGGTCTGGGAGGGTGATGATCCCCCAAGGTTACACTTCAGAGGTGTCCCTCCACGTCGGCCCTGCTCCTGTGTCCCCCAGTTATTTGCATGGTAGCTCCCTTTCTTCCCATCCTCCCTGCCTTCCTTTCGTGTTCACTTTCTCCTTTATTCAATCACTTATTCATTCAACAAACACAATGCAGAAACAACCTCACATGCAATTTGTGGGCCTTCACCTCAGACAACATAAAAATGTGTTTTTGTATTTTTTTAAATGTGAGGCAGGTGGGACTACACTAATATTGTGTTTTTGGCTTCTTAAAAATATGTTTTTATTGATTTTTAGAGAGAGAGAAATAGAAACATCCACGAGAGAGGAACATCATTGATCAGCTGCCTCCTGCAAGCCCCACACTGGGGATGGAGCCTGCAACCAAGGCATGTGCCCTGACCGGGAATCGAACTGGCGACTTCTTGGTTTCTGGGTGGACGCTCACCACTGAGCAACACTGGCCAGGCCATAAAAATGTTTTCAACAAGGTATTGATATATCAGAAAAGGCAGGTTCTTTGGAATTAGTCAGATTAATCTGCCTGACCGCTTCTAGGCTGTGTGAGTTTGGGCAAATCACTTTACCTTTCTGGGCCTCAGTTTCTTCGTCTAACAAATGGGGATAGTGATGCTCACCCTGCTCCCTTCCTTGCCTGCTGGGGTGGTGGTGGGGTGAGTGCTCCTCCTCATGGGGACACTGGGCCCCGATGAGACACTGCCACCAGGGCTACTATTTTTTCTTTGTTGTTGTGAATCCTCATCCGAGGATATTTTTCCATGGATTTTTAGGGAGAGTGGAAGAGAGAGGGAAAGTCAGAGAGAAAAACATCAATGCGAGAGAGACACATCGATTGGTTGCCTCCTGCATGAGCCCTGACCAGGGCCTGGGCTGGAGAGGAGTTTGCAACCAAGGTACGTGCCCTTGACCGGAATCAAACCCGGGACTCTTTGGTCCACAGGCCGACGCTCTATCCGCTGAGCCACACCGGCTAGGAGGGCTACTATTCTGGTGGGGAGACAAAGCACCAGTTGGGAATGGGGCCATCCTGGGAGCTCAGCGAGGAGCCCGAGGACTGAAGAGGCACCTTGGCCCCCTGGCCCAGCCTCAAAGGCCCATCTGGGCATGAGCCTCCGAGCTCCTGGGCCACAGACGCCGAGAAGCTGGGCGTGAAATCTGGGCGCACGCGGCGCAGCGAAGCCAGGCTGGGCGGACGCAGACCGTCCTTTTGATGTGCCTTTGGGGTGTGTAATTAACTGTAACTGAAATATTATTTGATCTTTTATGTGGAAAATCAAATTGTGTTGTGTCAGACATGAATAAACACACAGCCTCCGTTCCTGCAGAGGCGGCGGCTCCTCCCCAGCCCGGCCCCCACCTCAGACTCCCGCCCCACCCCCTTGGCCACGGTGGAAACATAATTCTCGCCTTTTAAACTTTTTCCTTTTGTCTGCTGGTGAAAGGCTCCATTGTCCTGGGGGGAGGGCCTGGAGGGGGCTGGGGCCGAGCTGAGGGGCTGGGGCGGGAGTGTCCGGCCCACAGACAGGACTGGGGCTCGGGGGCTCAGCCTTGGGGGCTGCACGGCTCAGTCCCTGGCACTGGGAGACCTTGGGCAAAGCGCTTCAGCTGTCTGAGCCTCAGTTTCCCCACCTGGGTCCCTCAGGCCCCTGGGGGGATGGGGGGCGTGTCACATTTTATAGGTGACTGGCCATCCAGCTCCGATGGTGGAGTTTGAGGCCATGGAGTTCCTTTACAGAGAGGTGGCAGCCTCTTTGCCGGCCCTGAAACCGCTCCCAGTGGATGAGGTGGGTCCTGCCTGACCTTTTCCTCCAAGGAAGCCAGCGAGAGAGATGGCAGGATGCTTGGGAGGGGAGGGGGCACAGTATAGCGGTTAGGAATGGAGTCTGGAGCCGGCAAGCCTGGGTTCAAGTCCTGCCTCTGCTATCACCGGCTGTGTGGCCTCTCTGAGCCTCAGTTTCCTCACCTGGAAAACGGGGATGACCTCCCTCATTGGGGCGAAAGGCACCTTAGCCTTTGCACATTCTGTTCCACCTGCCTAGGATGCCCTTCCCTCCCCTCAGCTCCTAGTGGACACTTATCCATGTGTCAGGGCTCAGCTTAGGCATCACTTATCTTTCGGGGGGACCTTTGCTGATCCATCTGAACTGGCTTGCCCTTCCCTCTGCTTTCCTGGCCGCCTCCCATGACATCCCTGCACCACCCCCCCCCTCCCCTGGGCACTTACTCATTCTGCCTTACGCTCTGCACTGTGACTGCAGGGAGCTCCCCAAAGATGCCTCTGACGTTTGCGGCAGAGCGCCTGGAACAGCATCAGGCACAGAGTAGGCGCCCAGGAAGCTGCCGCGGAGGTTATGCCTCGCAAACTCCGGCTTCAATGGGAGGCTTCCCTGGCCCAGACTGTGCCCGGGAACCCCCCCGCCCCCTGCCCCCGGGAGAGGTTCTACCAGTGCCTGCGGGGAACGCTGGTGCCGAGAGAGCGGGAGTCAGAGATGACCAAGTGAAGACACGGGGAGCTGGGCCTGGGCCAGAGCAAACATCCGGGAATTAACAAAAATCAACAAAAAGAGAGGAGCCACCATCACCGTCTGAACCTGTAATATTTACCTGCCGGGGAGAGAGGGGAGTTGGAAGAGGGGGCGGTCTTGCTGTTGCAGGACGGCCCGGGGGTGGGCGAGTGGGGCTTCTCGCCTCCCCAGGCAGAAAGGCAGAGAGAGAGCCAGAGAGGGTCCCGCCTCCAGCCCTCTCACTGTACAGCTGGGGAAACTGAGGCCAGCGAGGGGACCGCTTCCCAAGGTCACAGGAGAGGAGAGCGCCCAGAACGGTTTCCACGTCCTGACTTCTGGATCAAGCTCTTGTTGCTCTAAGAACAACACGGACCAGAACAGCAATAAAAGCGTTTGCTAAGCACATTCGAGGCGCCGGGTCTCGGCCAAAGGCTTTCCACGCAGGCACCGTCCTCATCCCCCCCTTTTTTTTAAATCCTCACCTGAGGATATTTTTCCATTGATTTTTAGAGAGGGCGGAAGAGAGAGGGAAAGACAGTGGGAAATATCGATGTGAGAGAAACACACAATTGGTTGTTTCCTGCATGAGCCCCAGCCAAGGCCTGGGCTGGGGAGGAGCCTGCAACCGAGGTAGGTGCCCTCGACCGGAATTGAACCCGGAACCCTTCAGGACGCAGACTGATGCTCTCTCCACTAAGCCGAACCGGCCAAGGCCATCAGCCCCATTTTATAGGGGCCACAGTATGGCTTTGGTGGGCCCCTTCCTCCATTAAAAATATTAAAAGTTATATTTTATGACTCTGTTGGTATAAAGATGAAAATGTGAATCCTATATGTTAAAACATTGTCTTCAAAAAGTTCTCCTCTGCCCTGGCTGGTTTGGCTCAAGGGATAGAGCGTCGGCCTGCGAACTGAAAGGTCCCAGGTTCGATTCCGGTCAAAGGCACATGCCCGGGTTGTGGGCTTGATCCCAAGTGGGGGGCATGCAGGAGGCAGCCGATGCATGATTCTCTCTCATCACGGATGTTTCTATCTCTCTCTCCCTCTTCCTTCCTCTCTGAAATCAATAAAAATATATTTAAAAAATTT